TAGGACGGGCAACTTTTATGCTGGCTGGATGCCAAATTCAAAGCTGTCAGTGTGGGTCCACTCAAGCTAACGTGGCACAAACCCTTTTCTCATGCTGTCAAAATGGCAGGTTCTGTGATAAAAATGTTTGTGGGGGACTAAATTGGAAACAAGCTTTAAGGTTTGATATCTATGAACTGTTTTTCAGTTTACAATAGTAGCACCTGCAAATGCACCAGGGCCCAGGATTAGATTACCGTTTTAGATGCTAAAAAGGATTAGATTTTTAGATCACCATGCCACGCCGATTACTAAATTAGTATAAGACGTGACGCCCACAATTCAATTTCCATCAGTAGGTCAGGTGACACGCCCTTACCATGACTAAAATGGGCGTGTCAGTTTTGTCAAAAACCCTAGATCTTTAATCTTTTTGCTTGCAAAAGCCTGGGGCATTCCATCGCTAGTGCAGGGACCAATGCTAGGGTTCATCAAGAAAATTGTGGGGTGCATCCTTAGGCTTGAACATCTACTACAGGGTAAGGCTTATATGCCCACAAATTAGGCATTAACTAGCCACCTTAGTGGCCCTTGTTAATGGTGTCGGCCTCTGGTGACCCCCATGGCAGGCCTAGATTGCTTATTAACGAGGAGAGATGGCAGTCGAAGGCGGATTGATGGTGGTGGCCTTAAAGTCAGAACATTTTCATTTTGTCTCTTTGCATTAGAAGAGAATACATGGCCACATGGGTGGGGTAGCTTTCACACCATTTTTGGTGCAAGAGTTGGGGTAAACTATTTCCTGCCTTTATAGATTCAGCGACTTTCCACTTTGGTCCTTGTAGTTTAAGATCACTCAGTTTTGATCTTGTAGTTTCCAAGGATTTCCAATGCGATCCCTGGAAGTTAAATAGCCAGCACAAGCTAAACTGCTAAAGTCACTCTGGGCCCTCCTTTGTGAATTCTTTTATCGGGATCTGAGAATTTTTGTGGGATGTTATTGACATGCATGGGAGTTTGGAAGATAAAGAAGGGGGAGATGGGCATTTTGTTAGGTTTAGTTAGATACATGATGGCTATATGCCTAGGTTTGAACTCTTTCAAAACTGCAAGATTAAAATTGGGAAATTCAAACTACAAGGGCTGAAATGGAATGTTCACAAATCTATAAGGGCTATAAAAACTTTTCCCTTGGTACTAACCACAAAAGCTTCACCAAAAAGAGGATCGATCACCTAGAAGAACCCCATCAAAAAATTTTCAAAAAGAGAGAAAGGCTAGGTGGCGTGGAGCTTTACAAACTTGGAAATGGACAATCTTTTTGGTTGAAAAACTTTGAAGTACGGCTGATTCTTGATGCTGTACTTGTCTAATTAAGTAGCAAGGTCTCATTCAACAACTAGCTAGGGCACGATCAAGGGAACTAACTCGGTTAGCTTTGTTGCTTGGTATATTTTTTTTAATACTCCAAAAGTGAGATTTGAATGCAGTTATTAAAATACTATGCAGTAAGCATGTGAATTCCCAATCTAGCTTTATTATTTAAAGCAACCAACCTCGATTTATTCTGTATCATAAAGCTACTTTTCTACTCGCATATCCTTAATTTATCGATTGCTTGATTAATTAATTCACTAATCAGATTTTGTTTGTCTACTTTTTGTTTGTTAATTCCGTAAAGATACACAAGAAGAGGCAGCGGCAGCGTATGATATGGCGGCGATACAGTATAGAGGAGCAAATGCGGTGACCAATTTTGATGTTAGCAATTACATAGAACGGTTGAGGAAGAAAGGCATCCCTATAGACCGAATCCTCCAAGAACAACAACTTCTTAACAACTCGATTGATTCCAGCGTGGAAGTGGAAGTGGAAGTTGAACAACCAACACCACCACCACAACAACAAGAGGAACAAGAACAAAAGATAGTCTCGTCGTCTTCGCAACTTCAATGTTCACAGCTAAATTCAAGCTTGGCTGGCACGCCTCCTATGGTAATTATGGACACTATTGAAGAGCACGAGCTAGCATGGAGCTTTTGTATGGATTCAGGATTGAGCCTCACAATGCCCGATCTTCCTCTCGAAAAATCCTGCGAGTTACCGGACTTGTTCGATCATACAGGGTTTGAAGACAACATTGACTTGATATTTGATGCATGTTGCTATGGAAATGAGGCCAATCCGGCTGGCTACATATTAGAAGATAATAGCACAGGAGGAGTTGAAGAGGTTGGTGTTACAAGGAGCATTGACGAGGAAAGTGAAAGTGGGAAGGACAGGTTGTTGTCTGATTCTGTCTCAAATTCTCCAACTAGTTCAACAACCACCTCTGTTTCTTGTAACTATTCTGTTTGAGTGTTTCTTGGACTTCCAGGCCTGGGGATTGTTAAGGTTTGTTTAGATTTTGCTTTGTTGGGTTCTGTTGCGGGTGGATGGGGAGGCGGGGAAAAAAAGAGGATCAAAATATCCTTAGTTTTTCATTTTTCATGTTTGTTTTCTCTTAATTACTTTAAAAGAAAATGAGTTAAAAAGTTTCAATAATTTTTTTCCATTTTCGATTTTCTGAGCTGATTTTTCTCCTTATAAACTTAGGGAGGAATATGGCTGGTCTCTCTGTTTAAGTATAGTTACTCACTAAAAATACTCTGAAGAACATTCTAAAATTTCCCTGTAATTTCTTGCTATTTTTCTAATACACTACAATCTTGAAAAGAAATTCCCTGACATGTAATTTTCTATATCAATTAGAATTCAATAAAATCTTCACCTTCTAGTAAATTACTTCAACAATTTCACGAGCATGTATGCATCTTGATTTAGCCTAGTGAAAAGGGCAAGATGAGATTAAAAACAAAGATCTTTATTCTTAGATCCTCACCATCTAAATGACTTGAATTTATCAAATAAGATAAACAAAAATTCTTCTTATGGAAAAAAATGATGCGCCCATGGGCCTGGATCGGGCTCTAAGCAAACCACCCAAAATCCATACTTGTAGTTGTTGGGGTTGGAAATTTGTAAGTAGTTAAGAAGGAAAGGATGAGAATGATCGAGTGGCTTCAAGGCTCAAGCTATGCACAATGCTCGCCAACAATGGGCACCAGTTTATTTTCGTAGCACTTTCTTTGCTGCCCTTTCTTCAAATCATGGTGTCAGCTCCTTCTTTGACGGGCATGTGAATCAACAGACCGCAATACCTTTGTTCTTTAAACAGTATGAACTTGCGCTCGAACATTCTCTGGAAAAGGAAATAGAAGCAGCCTACGATACAATTTGCACCACTCCTGTACTTAAGACGCCATCGCCAATGGAACAACAGGCTGCAAATATTTATACCAAGCAAGTATTCGCAAAGTTTTATGAAGAACTAGTTGAAGCTTTTGTATATACAGCAAATAAGATTGAGCGAGATGGGATGGCCACCAAGTACAGGGTTGCAAAATATGAGCATGATGACAGGGCATACAAAGTGACGTTGAGAACATCTGACATGCAAGCAAGTTACTATGTCTGTAAGCAAGAGTTATATAATCTGTTAGAATTCCTTTGGGTGAGCTGAGCCCGAATTGAGTCACAATTCAATTTCAGTTCATACTGTTCAGGTCCTGCCCACCTCACCGCTCGCACTTGCCAGGAAATGCTGGCTCACCCCTGAAGTGCAGGAACTTGTGTGTTTTTGTGCTTTTTAAAAGTGTATTTGTTTTTTAAAAAATATTAAATTGATTTTTTTAATTATTTTTTTATGGTTTTGATGTACTAATAATTTTTTTTATTCAAAATAATGTTATGCTGTAATTGATCACGTGGTGATTAAGGGAGAAAAAAACCCATCTAATCAATAATTTGTTTATAAATTCTCTTTTTCTGAAAAAAAAACTCTTAATTTTAATTATTCATTACAAAACTTGTATGTGTGTGTGTGTGTGTTTGTGTTTACCAAGCATTCCTTAGATTCATTAAGCTTCATGGATTGATTGTTATCCTTGATGAAGTCATGATACCAGTTTCACTACCACTGATCAATCCTTGGTTCCCGCACAAATTCATAAGGTCTGTCAATGCTTTAGTCACATTGAAGAGAAGGGTAATCGATCAAAAAGCTTTTCTTTGCCATTCATCAGAGTTGATTGGCAAATAAGAAATCCTGTTGTCGTCCTGATATAATATTGCATGATATTTTACAGCCTTGCGATCCCCTTCTCTTGATTGAACTGTCTCCTTGAATGTAACATGTTGCAGATGCTTTTTTTTCTTTTTTTTCACCCCAGAAGGCGAGCTGAGGCAACTAAATCCAGGTGCATGAGAAGCAACATTGATCTTAGAAGTTATGGGGGCCAATATGGGAGACTAGATGGAGGATTTGGAGGCCACAGAAGCTGAAGAGTTAAGCTGGCTGGATGTAACAATCACCAGCGAGCAAGTGAATCATGATGTACAAAATACCGATGATTCCAACGAGAGTACTGACAACAGAAGCGGCGATCTCACGAAAGGTCTTGATGGGGATGATTATTTGTATTAACCCACTTATTTTGTCATAGGATAGAAAATTGTAGAGTTCATATAATTGCCTTGAATCTATTTTGAACCGAGTTCATGTAGCAAGAATTGCTAAATCAAGGGAAATATCCTGATTACGTTGAATGGAAATATAGAATTTTGGATCTTGCACGATTTCATTTTGTTCTAAGAATTTGTGTAAATTTTACAAAGCTACATAGTGGATGGGCACAAATTCATCTGCAAGTTCAAAACCACCGTAGCTTCCAACTCCGATTATGCCTATTTTCAAAAAAAATTTGGTGAGCCAAATGCAAGATTATAGGAGAAGATTAGCAGGTGAGTTGAGCCTGACCATATGGATACATGATGGAACATTACTAAGATCTCCTGAAAAGCTGTACCTGAATTAACAGCTGCATCTTGTTTTTCTGTTTATGAAGTGAAACCTGTTCAAGCATCAAGCATGGTTATGTTCCCTGATATCTATGCTTCTACTGGTTTAGTATCCATCAGACTGAGAAAGTTCCTAACTTCAGCAAATTAAGAAACAAAATTTCTTTTACCTCATTTAGTCACAATCTCTATTGCCTGAATAGCATTAGCTAAAAGAAAGACTTTGAAAAAAACAAAAAGCATATCTGGAATGATGGTAGTGGGAAAAAAAAAAAAACATAGCTGGAAAGATGGTGGTGAAGGCAGAAAGTGGGAAAATTATTGTTGCCGAAGAGATGAGAGGACCACATCCTGAAGCGAACTGTCCCTTTTCATTGCAGCTTTGAACTCATCAAAGGTGACTTTTCCATCACTGTTGGCATCCATCCTATCAAATATCTCGTCCAATTTCCCCGGTTCTGCTATATCTGCTGGAAGGCAGTCCTCGGGCAAAGCCTGCTCGAAAAACATTCTATATGTCATCTAATCTTGGAAGCAATTTAAACTTTTCAAGTTATAAAAATTGTTAGGGAAGCAGCTTACTCTGAGCATTGATGCTACTTCTTCCTTCGTGATGCACCCGGATCGGTCTGTATCATACATCTGTTGGCCGAAAGGCAGAAAGTGGGAAAATTATTTTCTTGTTGATGTTGCAAGTTGGAGGGAAATCAGGGAACAGAGCATACCTGGAAGCACAGACGGAGAGCATCATCCCCTTGAGAGTTCCTGAGGCTGGAGAAACCACAAAGAATCTCCCTCATGTCAACTGTTCCATCCCGGTTGTTGTCAAATAGATCGAAGATGCGGGGTGCCATAGGGATCAGTAACGACATGTTCATTGCTTTCAGCACCTCCTCGAATTCGGATAGAGTAGCATTATCACCTTTTGCACACCTGCACACATATATTTCCCGTTAGAATATGAAAAATTGATAATAGGGCAATCAAAATGTTAAAGCTTCTTTATGCAATTTATCAGCGGTCAAATGCTGATAAACCTAAAACTCTACGCAAACTGAACTAAAACTTCGGGGCACGAAATAGTTTGAGTACTCACAATTTGGAAAAATGTAGCCTGAGTTTCTCGATTTCATCCTCCTTGAGGTCATGTGATCCTAGTAAAGATTTCAACTTTTTGGTTCTTAAGAAAATTGTGCTACTCCACACACTGGCTATTGCTGCAGCTCGGAATTTGCGACGGGCATTGAAACTCTGCAGCCTTGAGACAATCTCGGGGTCCATTTGTTCCTCTTTTGCAGAATCCCCTATCACCCAAGGATGATTTAAAACCTGTCACCACATGCAGTATGTTTTTTTAGAGGAGGCTTTCGATAATAATAGGAAAAGACCAATAAGTTAAGGCTTTGGGAATCTGTACATCATGAGCACTCGGTCTCCTTTCGGGATCAACTTGCAGGAGATCAGTGATCAGTTGTTTTGCTGATGAAGTAATGTTCTTCCACGTCTTCTCATAGAAAGTGAAATCACCCTGCATAGCAAATCATTTGCCTTTCAGAAACATCGAAGTAGGATAAACTGAACAGTGAAGAAAATGATCTAGCTTTGGTGGAGGCAAGAAAATATCAACATACAGCCAGTATCACTTGTTGTTTCTGCTTGTTGGACTGAGCAATGAAAGGCGGGTACCTGGAATATCGAAGGAAGAAAACAAAAAAAACTGAGAACTTGAACCGAAAATCGGCATCTTGATCGTTGACTTATGGCAACAAATGATAGGGTACAATTTGAGACACGAGAAAATTAACTCACCCTGAGAGCAGGATATACAAGATTACTCCCAAAGACCACATATCAGTTTTAGAGCTAATTCTGCCTTGAGAAAGAGCTTCTGGTGAGACATAATCAATGGAACCAAACAACCCTACTACTGGATCGGTGAACTCTTCCACAGAACTCAATCCAAAGTCCATAATCTTCAGAGTAGAATCATCGTTTTCATTCAAGAAAAGACAGTTCTCTGGCTTCAAGTCTCTATGAACAATATTAGCCCTGTGAAGAGCTCCCAGACCTTCTGCAATCTGCCTAACCACAGCTGCTGCTTCACTCTCAGAGTACCTGTCTCGAGCGACAATTCTGTCAAACAGCTCTCCACCAGAACAAAGCTCCAACACAAGATGCACCCCATTTTGATCCTCATAAACATCATAGAGGTCAATCACATTCGGATGCGGCGATACATTTTCTACTATCTTTCTCATAACCAATATTTCATTTGTAAGTAAAGCATCAGATACTGAAACCTGCCTCCATGTTGGGAATTTGAAAGAAGAAATGCTTCTCTCACCATCACCGCGAGATCTCGGAATTCCTGATGGAGTTGACGGGCCTAATCTTTTCAATGTCTTGATGGCCACCTGCCTCCTATCTCCACTTGTCTTCAGTATACCTCTCCTGACAACTGAGAACCCACCTCTTCCTAGAATGTCTGAAACTTCATATTCATCTGAAAGTTTTCTTGTTTCCTGTCCCATGAAGACAATTTCCCGGAAACTAACTACCAAACACTCAACAGAAATGGAATCTTGAAGACTTGAAACTTTCAGACAAAAAAACAAATAATGGGAAGAACTAGGCAGGTAGTTTTCAATTATAAGGGAGAGAAGAGACAGAAAAGATTGACATCAGCCTGAGAAGACTTTTTGCATTAGTTTATGCATGAAATTCAAGAGAATAAATTATAAGAGATGGGAGCTGAAGAAAAACCGACAAACAGGCGAGGTCAACTAAACCTTAATTATTAGTCTAGTGAGCTTCCTTGTCTATCTTCAAATTTTTTTATTTTTTTTTCAATGGTTAAGATATTCTCCATCAACTTGTATGTAAACCGATATTAAATTTTATCTTTAAAAGATTTTAATAGAAAAATAATAGTATTAAGATTTGAACTCCGAAGATCAAAATACAGAACAAACCTTTTATCTACCCAATTTACCACTTAGATTTTCTCTAAATTATTAGAAGAAATTTTATAACACCTGTATATCATCTTAGATCTATATAATTATATTCTTAATATTTTATTATGGTATTCATTTAAAATATACAAATGATGATATTTAGGTAGGTAGGTACGTAGGTTAGTTAATTTAGATTGATTTAAATCAGTCCAGAACAGCTGAGAAAAATTAAAAAATTAAACTAAATTTTAACCAAGCCTCGTATGAAACAGGTGAAGATAATATAACATTTAAAAAAAAAAAAAAACAAACCTTGCCCAGGCCGGAGATCTTCTAAAGCTTTAACAGGTTCATGACTGCAAAAACTATCAACATGGGCTTGTTAGGATAGATGGTCCAGGTCCTCGAGGCTATAAGGCCTAGAGACATGTCTATGGAATGAAGAAAGATGCTTAAGGCTTAAATAGGATATCATACCTGCCAATTAATTTGATTATCTCCTCTAATCTGGCCTTTTGGTAAGGCTTAAACGTATTTGGGTTGGTGTAACTCTTAACCTAAACATGGGCTGTGTTAAATTCTGTTTCCTATTGGATATTTCTAGGCCTGTCCTTGATGGCTGGAATCTATTCACCCTCTCTTAAAAAAAAAATATTTAAAAAATCACATTCAGATGTTTAAGTTATTTTACAGGTAATTAAATTTACTCTACTCTAGTTAATTATTTTTTCGGATCGTATGAGAGTCTAATCTTAAAAAAGCACAGATTAACTCGAATTAATTATTTATCATTTTGGTTTTAAGAAAAACTTAATTGGGTGTTGATCCGATTAGGTCAACAAAACCATGGATAAACTCCTCAAATGCACAGGTTTTAACTGGTTCAATATTCTTTTCAATTAATCTAAGCTTTGGTCACTAATTTACAAACCAATCCGCCGAATATGAACAGCAACGCTTAATAAAGGAAAGGGAGAAAAGCAGCAGCGGCAGCAGAGCTCAGGACAATAAATATTAGTGCACAACTTTCCTTAAGGTGAGGGCTAATGGTGACAAGGAATCATTAGAATTTGCATTGAATTTGACCAGGTGAATAATACAATGGTCGGATGGTGACAAATTATATGACTTGAAGAATGTTTATTATAATAGTTGTTTGGAGCATCTATAAGTTTGATGTTCTGACATAATTTTCTTTAATATTCCTAAAAATATATTATAAAATCCTCTCTTTTATATGCTATTTCTAGAAAAAGGCAAGAAAATTTACAAAAAAATCTCGATGCAAAAGGTGATTTATATAATATCTTCAAACTTTTAGACGATTTTAATAATTTCATGATACCTCGGAAAGTTATCTTGAGTTGAGAAAAAAAGAGAGAAGAACAATCAGGAAAAGTATAACTGGGGGATCTGAGTCCCTTCTAGATATTGTAGAGTCTGAGTCTCTGCAAGAAGAAAACGCGGGCAAGCATCTTGCGTGCATAAATATATATACAGACATACACCTAACGTAGAGAGAGGAATCAAAGTGGGAAAAATGGGAACAAAAGATGGGGTTGAAAGAGGGGACGCAGGAAGTGGAAATATGCGAACTTCAAAACCTGCCTGCCTAACTTTGAATGATCTTTTTCATGTTCACAGGGAACATTATACAATTGTTCTCTGGATTTGCTTTCCTTTCAAATCAGATTCTTGGTTGTTCCCCCCGTTATTCTCCCCGTGCCTGACCAAAAGCACGGGATTAATTTGATATTTTCCCATAGTTTGGTAACGCAGTGCACTGTGATTTCACCTGCGTTTTGCCTGTAAAAACACCAAGAACTATATTTTTGATGTGGTGCATCGCTCTTCTAAATTATACCTTAATCTCTTAGTGTGAGTTTGATAGCGAGGTGGAATTAGGGGGGCTGGCAGGGGCCTGCAAGGAAAAATTCTTTTTCCAGCCCCCCCTCCTTTAATAAATTATATTTTTAGTTTTAAAAATAGAAAATTCTAAGTTCTAACCCTCCTAAATTCTTTTTCGCACGTCTAATATTCGTCGTACATGAATTTTACTCATTTCACGTCTCCACCAGCACACCCTAGCCTCAAACCCTGGAGGGGGAATGGGATTCGGGGATGAGAGAAAGCTTAGCTCCATGGTAAAGACTTTGAACCCAGCTCAATCATATCCTAGGACTGAATTCGAGTTAAAATCCATGTCAATTTTAAATGATGCCAAGCCAAACCTGTCAGATCATCGCTGCTTAAAACTAAAAAGGAAGGCATGTGTTCAATGTGCAAAAGAATCTTTTCATCAAGATTTTTGACCCTAGACATAAAAGCATCCCAGTGCTTGGAACTCTTGAGATGCGACAAGAAGAGTCCATGATTGATGTAAGATACAGATGCCAGCTTTTGAGTGCTGCTAGACAGCTAGAGGACCACATCTTTCTTGTAACTTCAACTAAATCCAAGAACTGTTCCTGGACTCCACCACTACTTACTTTCTCTATGCCCTCTGTGCGAGGGTGTGTTGTGCACACAGGAAAGGAGGCAATTCTGTTCAAGTGCCTTTTGAAGAACTGGCCGGGTGCATTGAACAAGCTGAGAAAGTGGGGGCATTATAAGGCCCCTTCTAATTCAACTCAACACACAAAAATCAGAAAAAACAAGGAATAAATAGATCAAGCAAGGAATCCAGGGATTTTGCACCAACACAAAAGACAGCATAATGTATGAAAGCACCATATATTGATGTATGTGTACATATACTTAGCTACATAGCGATATGAACTTTTCAACAGCAGTACAGAATATGGGTTTGGTCCTTGCCAGTTCATTATTGGCTCTTCTTCAATACTGCACAGAAAGCAACCTAGAAATCCTAGACTTAGCAAGATAAAGAAGCAGAACAGAAACTCAAAAGTTCACAAATGTCTTGAACATCTACATATAAGAACATATTAAACTACTAAGACTCTCAAGGAAGAAGTTTCTGCACTATGAAGCAGAAACTGTGTTGATGATGGCCTTCTTCCCAGAATGTTAGCTGTATCCCCTTCTAGGATGGTGCAGAACCAGGGAGAGCAGCAAGGTATTTTGCATCTTTCGTTAGACATACCACATGCCAACATCCTGCTTTGGAATCAGATCCATGGAATAATCAACTGGTGGACTGGGGAACGGAGAGCCAAATCTGAAGTCAGTAATATTGTCACTGACATTGGTATCAAATGCAGAATCAAATGCCTTGCAGTGATCAAACTGATTTTCAGTTGATGAGAAAACAGCATTGTTCACTGGCATGCTGGTTGCTTCAGTGATGTTGTTTCCTGCCATAGCCCCTTGGCCATAGAAGCTATCATCCAGCTGAAATTGGAATTTCTGTTGTTGCTGTTGATTTTGACCACCGATAATATTAGCATTCCTAGGATCCAGCTGAAACTGAAATTTCTGTTGCTGCTGTGGATTTTGGTCCCCCATAAAATTCACATTCCTGGGGTTCAGCTGAAATTGAAATTTCTGCTCTTGCAGTTGCTGCTGATTTTGATCTCCAATAACATTGGCACTCCCAGGATTCATGTTCTTGTCTCGCTGAAGATTGGTATCATAGAAAGACATAAGATCAGAAATCGTTTTTTGGCCATCTTCTGAAAGTCTAAGTCCTGAAACATTAAATGAAGGAGTCTGGTTTGGAGCTGCTGCCTTAGTTTGGGGAAATGGGAGAGAAAACACAGCTGGTTTGTCACTGTTAATTTGGAAATTAGACAATCCAAGTCCCTGAGAAGCGTTGGTGCGGTATAGGCAATTCATTTGGTGATTATTTCTTGCAGTGATGTCAAGAAACCCAAGTCCGGAATCGTTGTAGGGGCACTGAGGATGCTCGCACCTGTACACCTTTTGATCAACCAACATGTGTGGCTCGCCAGCTGGCTGCTTCCTTTTCTGAATGAAATCCATGCTTGTTTCAACAAGCTCTCCCTTAATTTGTGGAGCTGCTGGCGGCATCATAAATCTATCTCTTGGTCCAGCTGCTGTTGCCATGTTGAAAAGATTGACATCAAGACGTTTACAATCCTCTACTTCAACATTGGGTTCATCATCCACTCCTTCAACATCATAATCACTGGAATCACTGATGACACACGAACCACTTCCACCAGCAGACACAGGAGGGCAGCTATCTGGATATAATTTTCGGGACAGTGTTTCTTCCTGATTAATTATTGCCAGCCAAGTGGCACTCTCCTTGGCAGTCATCTTATCCTGCAAACATTTAGACTGGCGAACAAGCTTGCGTATCTTGGCAATATCAGGAGAAATGTGCTTAATCACAGCTGTCAGAACACTGACTTTCCAAGCCTTCTTCAGATCATGGGGCTTCTTGTATGGAGGAGGACCCTGATCCTTGGGCAAACCCAGTTGAGGCCACCATTCCTCGTTTGCAGTGGGCCACCATGGCGGGGCAACACCTTTCTCCAGTGGGAAACGCCTCTGGGGTGGATCACAGTGCTGCATCAGGGCTGACAGAAGCGATCCAAGAGTTGTATCCTGAAGTTCCTGCAAGGTGTGAGGTGTGGATGCTGCTGGACCACAATCTTCACTCTTTCCAGGGATTGAATGGTCTGCCTGATACTTGGAGATAGCAGCAGGGCCATTCCGATCAAACCTGACTTTTTCCTTCCACCATCCCCGGAGATTGTCAGATGCTCCACTCACCGGCTTTCCCTTCTCAGGAATGATCCCATACACAAAACCCTGAGCTTTGCAAACCTCCATCATCTTCAGCATATATTTCAGGATACCATCTTGTGCTCGTGACATCTTCTTCCTCCGTGCTTGCTCCTGAGACTGACGATGTTTTGCATGATCAACAACTTCCGTATTCTTACCC